TTTTAAGATTTTCATTGAGGGGATGGGAACAGTGCTGGGGAATTGGGGGAAGGAGAACAGACAAGTTGCTGTCCTTTTGTTCTTCAGTCTAGTTGTGGAGGACGTCACTTCACTGGCCCAAGTTGGCCACTCACACTGGCTGCTGGCTACACACGGTAGCCCATGGCAACCCACTGCAGCAGTGGCTGCAGCTTACACCGTCGCCGGCGACTCATGACAATCCAGCCCCAGGTTGAGCTATTGTTCAGCATCTTAGCTGTAAAGGGCAGTGTCACTGGCCCTCATATGTGGGATCCGAACCGGGGCCCTCTGGCATCCCAAGCCAGCTGTTAACCAACGCGCCACTCGGCCGGCCCTGAAGTACATTTAAAAAAAAATTTTTTTTTTTTAAGATTTTATTGGGGAACTGGGAGAGGGGAACAGTGCTGGGGAATTGGGGGAAAGGGAACAGACAAGTTGCTGTCCTTTTGTTCTTCAGTCTAGTTGTGAAGGACGTTGCTTCACTGGCCCATGTTGGTATTATCATTGCGCTCTTCCCGGGTGAGGCAAATTGGTCACCAGCCTCTGGACGGCCACTCATGGCGGCTCTTGGCAGCTCACACTGGCTGCTGGCCACTCACGCTGGCTGCCAGCCACACATGGTGGCTTATGGCAGCCCACTACACCAGGGGCTGCAGCCTACACCATTGCCGGCAACTCACAGCAGCCCAGCTCCAGGTCAAGCTTTTGTTCACCATCTTAGCTGTAGAGGGCAGTGTCACTGGCCCTCATGTGGGATCTGAACCGGGGCCCTGCTGCTCAGAGCTGGCGTCCCAAGCCAGCTCTTAACCAACGTGCCACTCGGCCAGCCCTGAAGTACATTTTCTAGTGGCATTCTTACCCATCAGATTGTAAAGCATTGGGTCCCTCAGATTTTTGCCTCATAACCTATCCTTTGTCTACTAATACTGATAATATATTGTTATATTCTCTCAAGTTTTTCTCACTTTTTTAATTTCTAGCTGGGAAGTTCCAGATAAATGCTGTTTGCTTCAAATTCATCAAATTTTTTCCAGTTGTACTTTCCCTGTAAACTTGGAGTCCCTTTGGACACCGCCTCACCCCCCAGTCTCCATGCTGCTTTTCCAACTCACACCGCTATCACTTCCAATGTATTTCCCTCTATTAATCAGAATGTCTCCATTCTTCCTCTAGAACAGCGGTTCTCAACCTTCTTAATGCTGCGACCCCTTAATACAGTTCCTCTTGTGGTGACCCCCCCAACCATAAAATTATTTTCGTTGCTACTCTATAACTGTAATTTTGCTACTGTTATGAATTGTAATGTAAATATCTTTTTGTTTTCCGATGGTCTTAGGCGACCTCTGTGAAGGGGTCGTTTGACCCCCAAAGGGGTCACAACCCACAGGTTGAGAACCGCTGCTCTAGAAGTTCTTCCCTGCCCCATATTCCTTTATGACCTTAAAACATCCTTCCATCTCTCTCTGACCAATTATCATTCTTACACCAAATCTCCCTGAAGCTCTGTTACCTGGAGTAACTAGTGGCATAAGTTCTCAGGGCAACATCCTTCTTCAAAAATCTTTTTATTTTTTATTTTTCAATTACAGTTGACATACAATACATTCGTTTCAGGTGTGCAACATAGTGTTTAGAGATTTATATACCTTATGAAGTGATCACCCCATCTAGTACCCATCTGATACCATACATATTTGGTTTTTGGAAAAGTCATGACATATTTTGTCTGTTTTTCAAAGGTCATTTATTTATATAAAGAAGATCAAGCAATGATATATTGCCCGTTTTGTTCAATAACCTTTTGCCATCTTTCAGTGAGCTTCATAATTTCTCGTTCATAGAAGAACCTGTCTTTATTTGAGAAAAACTGAACAAGGTGCTGATTTACATCCTCATCTGAATTGAATGTTATACCATGCAAGGAGTTTTGAGGAGAGCGAAACAAGTGGAAGTCTGATGGCGCACAGTCGGGCGAGTATGGTGGGTGTGGCAATACATCCCATACAAGCTCCAATAATTTTTGACAGGTGATCAAATTTGTGTGTGGTCTCACGTTGTTGCGATGGAACACAACTCCTTTACAATTAACAAGCTGGACGTTTCTGGATGATGGATTCGTTCAAACTGTCCAATTGCCGATAGTACACATTCGAATTGTTTGGTTCCTTGGTAGGAGCTCAAAAACCACACCTTTAAAATCTCACCACACAGAGCATAACCTTCCTCTGATGAATGTCTACTTTCGATGTCGTTTGAGGCGAATCATCACATCAGGACCAAGACCGTTTGCACACCACATTGTCATAAACAGTCCACTTCTCATCACCAGTTATCAGTCGCTTCAAAAAATGATCATTTTTCTCATGTTTAATGAGCATATTGCAGATGTTTATACACGCTGTCAAATTAACTTCTTTGCGTTCATGCAGAACCCAAATATCGAGCTTGCTTAC